TATAGGGACCTGGACTTGAGGTGTTACTCGCCTCGACTTTGGTTCCACCTGCACCTCCTTGTCCTTCCCCTTTGGTGGGTTGTCCTGGTCCTTCCCCCCCCCCTGCTTCCGGCTCCAAATTGTCTGGGGGCTTCAGAGTCGGGGCAGGGTTTCGCTGGCTTTGAGACTCGGGCGATTTCGGGGGATGCCTCTTCCGGGGTGGCGACGGAGGCATTTGAGCTTGGTCCTTTGGCCGGAGCTTCTGGGTCTGACCAGTGGGCCCATTTCATTCCTGCTTTTTTGACTCCTGCCTTTTCTTGTGAGGAAAGGGGTTTGGAGGACGGCTCGGCCCCAGGTTCTCGTGGTGGGGTTGCTTGGGTGGGGGAGGGGTTGACTTCGGGGCTTTGGGTCTCGTTGGACCCCACTTGGGTTTTTGTTCCCTCTGAGTGGGGCTTGGTGTTACAGTGTGCGGGGTTTTCTTTTCCTCGTATGAGTTGGATTTGGCGTCTACCTCTCCCCGGGTTCGGTTCTGTAATCCTGTGGGTTCTTCAGTCCCGTCTTCCCGGAGGTTTTTGGCCTCTCGCATCCTGCTGCATGTGGTGCGTGAGGCTGTTGTGACTTACCTCCTGCGTGACCCAGATTATGCCGTCATAGTGGATCCGTCTTTGTTCGTGTATGGATCTTCCTGTTCCTACTGGGTTTGTTATGAGGATCCAGGGTCGTACTGGCTTGCGGACTTTTTGTTATTCTCTTTTAAGGTGTGGCATTTGTTCTGTCAGTCCCACGCGCTTGAGTGGCGAGAGGCTCATACGGTGGTATAGGTTTTCCTGGGGGGGGGGGGGGGCAAGTTTGAGTACCTCAATGCGTGCTTGTTCATCCTTGCCTTCCCTTTCGGCTGCCTTGGTTGCTGAAGACTTCTGTGTCTGTGGCCTGTTGGCTTCGGTCTGGCGTTTCTTTTCCCTTCTCGAGCTGTCCTGACTGGCTTAAGGAGGATGTGGAGTCACTTGGAGCTGCTGCTGAGTCAGGTGCGTTAGCCTCAGCGGTGCATGTGTCGGCTGCGCTTTTGAAGTTATTTGCATTGATCATGCAGGATGTGGTGTCGCTGTTTTTTGCTTCCTGGCTCGCGTGTCGGCAGGCGGTGCTTGCTTCCTCTGTGGAATCTGCTTGGGCCCTGGCTCTTAAGATTTCTTCCCATTTTTGTCCCTTGCTGTTTGCAGAGTCTGTGGTTGTGCAGTATTGCAGGCAGCCTCTTTTAGTTGCCGCCCTATGTCGGAATTGTTGGTTCTCCGGGGAATTCGCAGGTGGCCTTCCCGGAAAGGTTGTGCCAGGGCATGGGGTTCCTCTCGTCGAGGTAGGCCAGTGGTGCCAGTTTCGGAGCCGTCTTCATCTGGTCGGCGCAGTGCACGCTCTGTGTAGAGGTCGGATTCTCATAAGGGGAGTCGGCCCTTTCGTGGTTCGTCCCATTGACAGGCCGATGGGGATAAGCTAGCTCTGTTTGTGGGCCTTTCAGGTCGTTTCATACAGCCTGCAGTGGTGTTGGGTGGCCCCTCCTCCTTTGAGGGGTTCGGGGTTAAGGGGGCAGACCTTTTCTCCTCCACTCTGTCACATCATCTTGAAGTGGGTTCGTGTGGTTAAAACGACTTCGTGCCTCCAGTGGGTTTCCCGCCTGTTTCCGATTCCGAAACGGAACTATGCATACCTTAGGTTCATTCTGGACTTGTTCCTTCTGAACCCGTGGGTTTATTGCCCCTCCTTTCGACTACTCTATCCCAGGTCCGTCTTCTGTTGGAGCCGGGCGCTTGGATGATGTGGACCTCGAGGACATGTTTTGGCACGTCCCAGTTTGTCCAGGGTTCACGGACTGTCTCGATTTTGTTGGGCATCAGGGGTTACTTCTTTCGTTGCCTTCCATTCGGCTTGAAACTGGCATCTCGTGTTTTTACATGCCATACCCAGGTCGTGGTGGCCCACCTGCATTTCATCGGGGTTCCGGTTCTGCCCTACCTCAACAACTGGTTGGTGTGGTCTCCCAGGCAGTTCGTTTGTCTGCTCGCCAGGGATTTGGTTCTTTCTCAGCTTATCAGTTTTGGGTTCCTAGTGAACTGTAGGAAGTCCCATCTGGTTCCCCTATCAGGTTCGCTCTTGGCTAAGTCTTGTGTGGGACGCTCCGACCTCTTCCTTGTCTCTTCCTCCAAAGGCTCTGCTTCGGCTGCGGTCCCGCCTTCACTTATTTCTGAGGGGCTCCGGGTCACACCGTGGTTGCTCGAGGGTGTGTGCGGAGCGTGAACTTTGCCTTGATGATCTACTCGTCGGGTCGGTTTTGGCTTCGTTGGCTGTTCTGGTTCCTTTGGGGAAGTCCCTTCTGCCTCTCTCGCGATCTCTGGATTCGGCCTCAGGGGGTCTTGCATCAATTGCTGCGTTGCCAGCTTCCTCTTCGGGTTTTTCGGGGTACAGTGCCCTGGTGCCTTCCCGAGCCCTCGCTCGATGTGTTCATGGATGCGTCATCTCTGGGCTGGGGCTTTGTGACCATTGCTCACCAGGCCGACCAAGGGTGGTGGGGTCCATCCTTCCGTCAGGCTCATAACACGGTGTGGATGTCACTTCAGAGTTTGCGGGTCGCTTGCGGATTGATGATCCGGCTCTATTCGAACTGCTCCCTGGTGGTTCATTGAACCCCTGTGGCTCCACTAAGCATTGGGGTTTGATGCTGTTCTTGGCTTTATGGGGCTGCTCGCTTCGGGTGACTCGTTTGCTGAGTTTTCGGGGTTTGGCTCTCCTGGCCATTCACGTTTGGGGGGAGGGGGTGTGTCTTAACGTCCTGGCGGACAGCTTGTCTCGGTTCATTCCCTTTTCCATGGAATGGATGGTCGACGCCGACTTATTCCGTCTCCTCTGTCAGACGTATGGGCTCCTGGAGGTGGACCTCTTCGCGTTGGCGTGCCGAGGCATCTCCCCATATGTGGCGCCCTCTTCCGACTGTGAGGTCGTCAGGGTCTATGGCTTCAGGCAAGACTGGTCGAGGTGGGGTTACCTGTACCTCTTTCCCCTGGTTCCGCTGTTGCTCCAGGTCCTAGCTCGCTTGGAGACTTACCAAGGGAGAGTTATTCTTATGGCCTCTTGGTGGCCGACCCAGCCTTGGTTTCAGGTGCTGCTTGCTTCAGGTGTCCGAACCCAGGGGTTTTCCCGCGCCTCGGCCTCTTTCAGCAGATCAGGCCAGTCAGTTATGTTGCTGGTTCGATCTCCTCAAGTCTTCGTGTCTGGTCTTTCTGATGCGGGTCGATCATCACTTGTATGGTGTGCAGGTGGCTTTGTTGATGGTGTCCCACCTGCGTGCTTCGTCTCGGCAGCAGTATGAAGTTTCCTGGCGGTCCTTCCATTGTTTCTTGTCCCTTCGTAGGTTTACTTTGGTTTCTGATAGGGGCGTTTTGTCCTTTCTTTCGTTTTTTTTCCAGGACTCATCTTAAGCCGAATATTGTCGCCTCGTATTGTGCAGCGCTGGAGAAGCCACTGCAGCTTGCGTTCAGTTTTGATATTATTTCTGCGCCGTTCTGCAAGCTATCTCGTGTGTTTCACCTCCGGCCTGCTCATGCACTGCCTGAGCTGTCCTGGTCGTTGGACCGGGTGCTCTCTTTTTCTCTCTCTTCCTTGATTTTTGGTGGCCCCTTCAGTTCAGGATTGTTTGGTGAAAGGGTTTTTCTTGTTGGCATTGGCCTCTGGGGGGGGGGTTGTATTGGGGAGCTTCATGCTCTCCCTCTGGCGCAGGGGTTTCTGCTCTTTTGGTCCTGGTGGCAGGTTTGTTCGGTTGCAGCCGTCTTTTTCTTTTCTGGCGAAGAATGAGTCTGCTGCTTTCTGGAGGAGTCCCTGGGTTGTTGATGCTGGGTTGGTTAGGCCGAGGTTGCATCATGTGTTGTGTCCGGTTGCAGTTCTCTGCAGTTAGCTGTGTGCCACAGCTTCAGTAACCGGGGATGCACTTTGGGTTGAACCGGTTTCTTTCAATCCCTGTTGTAGGTTCGGGTCTCCAGGGTCATCAACAGGGATGTTCGGTCTAGCCAGCCTGTGGTCAATACTCATGCCCACGATATTTGTAAGTTTGCTGCTCTGGCTGCCATCTTCTGTAACATGTCCTGGGCTGATATTCGGGCACAGGGTTTTTGGAGGTCGAACAGGGTCCTGGCCGCTCGCTACCTTGTCAGTGTTCCTGGGCCTAGTCGGTCCTTTGTCACATTGAGTTGGTGGTTGCAGCCAGTTGTTTCGACTTCGTGTTGAAGAGCCTAAGTCCCTCTTGTTTTTGTCTTGGGTAAGTAGCTCTGGGGAGCCGACGGGGTTTCCCCAGAAAACCAGAAAACCAGCGTTGAATGTAATGAAACGCCTTTTTCTGGGTGAGACCCGTAGGCTTCCCGGCAACCCCACCCCCTCTCTGGTCGGGGGTTTTGCTTTTCACAATTTTTGACATCCAGGCTCAGAACTGCAGAGTGGATAGCCAGCGTGATGGTCTGGGGCTCCCTCTTTCCCCTCCTGGGGGGGGATGGGGGTTGCAAACACTGGCGCGGTAACGTGGAGAACCACGTGCGGCAAACATGCTTGTTTGCTCGTTTTCATTGCTCCCAACCACATGGGGGTTTCTAAGGCCATTGCTCCTCGGTCCTCGGTAGGCCTAGAAATCCATGCACTTGACTGTTGCCAGGGTCTAATACATTCATATCAGCCGGATACCTCCGGGAAGCCTCTGGGTCTCACTCAGAAAAGAGTTTTATTACATTCAATGCTGTTTTTTTCACCTTATTGTGCTTCTCTTTTGTTTCTCAAAGTTAATCCCTTCATATCCTTTGAAATTGGAAACACCTAATGATATTTTCTATGCATTTGTAAGGATAGTTGAATATACCAAAATAGTAGACTATACATTTCACAATCAGGTGATTTAACCTCATCTAGTAGATTATTGATGACAGCTTTTGTAGAATGTCAGCTTTCTTTAATTTGTGGCATATTTATTTGTACTTTAAATTTTTCTCCTTAAGGGAAAATATCTGGCAGCAGTTCATGAAGCATGGAGGAATTTATCTGGTAAAGAAAAAGAAAAATATGAGGCAGAATATAATGAAGAATTGCAAAGGATGAGCGTTTCTCTGAAGAGTTTTGGTGTTACGTTTAAGTAAGTGTTGCAGAGATGGACACAAGGTGTTGTATGTATACTGTACAATGTATTGAGGGTAATTTTATACTTAATCCTGTCTGTTGCAAACAAATTGGCCTGTTTTCTGTGGGGTGCTTTTTCTCCCCGGAGCTTACCGGGTTGATCTGTATGTATTAGACCGTGGCATCAGTCGATGGAGTTCTTGCCTATGGGAGACTACGAGACAGAACTTGGCCCCCTCAGAGAGGCACGAGGAGCAATGGCTATTGAAACCCCATGTATTTGGAAGCATTTCATATCTTCCATCGACCAGGGTTTGGCACCCAGAAAGGTAGGCATAACAAAACCCCACATGATGAAAATTGTTACCTAAAAGCCGATCAGGGAGGCAGAATTCCCAAATTAAAATAAGCAAACGTTATCAGCGCTGTTGCGCCGATCATCCGTGCTTGATACCTGCTTGATGGGGTTCTGGGAGTTCTTCTACTCCCCAAGCCCGGCCAGAGGCCAGGCTCGACTTGTGAGAGTTTGGTCCACCAGGCTGTTGCTTGGAGCGACCTGCAGGGCCACATACCCACCACAATCTGGCTGATCCGGAACTTCTCTTGGAAAACAGTCCAGTTTTCTCTTGAAGATGTCCACGGTTGTTCCGGCAATATTTTTTAGTCGCTGGGAGGACGTTGAACAACCACGGACCTCTGATGTTTATACAGTGCTCTCTCATTGTGCCTATGGCACCTCTGCTCTTCACTGGTTCATTCTTGCATTTTCTTCCATATCGTTCACTCCAGTACAATGTTATTTTCTGCTGCCCAATCGAAAACTTTGTTGACATCTGCTTGTAGTTTTTCAATGTCTTCAGCAGAGGTAATTTTCATGCTGACTTTTGTGTCATCTGCAAAGGACGACACGAAGCTGTGACGTGTATTTTTGTCTAAGGGGCCCAGACCCCCCCGTGCTGGCCGCTCCAGCAATCAGTTCCTCAGGTGAGGTGGACTGTGGCGGTCGTCAACTCTGGTCTCAGACTGCAGTTTTGTGCCTTGTGTATTTCTGCGGTGTGGTGCACTGGCCAGGAATAATTGAACAGTACTGGGGTTGCATGCACTTAGGGACACTTTTCCTAGGTATCCTGTAAGTACTGCCCTTGCATCTTGGGGTTACCTTCCACAGGTCGTTCGAGAATCGCTTCTGTTGGGGTCTGTTGCTGCTCAGCAATTGCCTGCCCTTGGGGCCAACTGGGTTGTTTTGTAGTCACTGTTTGGCATTGGGTAGGAAGGGGTATCATTGCTGGTAGGAGCACAAGGTATTGTGTGGCTTGTCTCCCATTATACATAGTCGCAGGTTCTGTTCCTTCTGGGGACGTTGTGTTTTCGCAGGGATTTCTTTTTCTTTTTGTTTACATTACCTGGTGGGGGTCTGCCCCGTTGGTTTATCTACCTTTTGTTATATTGGTGGTCCTCCATTAGACTCCGGTGCTTGTACTGTACATGTCGCAGGGGTTCAGGTTTTTAGCAGTTCTGTTGGTAGTTTGGGCCTAACCGGTTAGCAATACCTTGCCAGGGCTACCCTTAGCAGTCAGCCTAAAGGCCCTGGAAAACCTCATTGGGGCCTTTGGACCTGTGGATGCGTCCTCTGGATTTCAACTCGCTGCGTACAAGTTTGATGGTTGCTCTGTCCCCTTGTCTTGGCGGGGACACTCGACAGTTTTGCCTCTGTCATGCTGCCTGCTGGGTCAATGATACCTTTGACCCAGAGTCTTGCTCCTTCCCTGGAAACACAAACCGAAACTGTCTCTATTTTCCGCTTGTAACAACTTGTAATAAAGTTGTTACATCTTGGCTTAATGTGTTTATGACGTATTGGAACGTTGTTACAACTTGATATATTGGTTGTTATAACTGGTTAGGTGGTGTTAAAACTTGTTCAAACGTTGTACCAACGTCGTAGTTTCGGTGTGTGTTTGGAGGGTTGCTCGTACTCTAGTTAATCCATCCTACTGATATTGAAGTTCGGGTACAGGCGGGTTTGGTGTTACATGCTAGATATCGGTTGCTGCAGCGCGCAAGGTTGGTTGCTCATCCGGATGCCCTGAGGCTGCCCCGCTTGGGTTATAGGGACCCGGACTTTGGAGTTTCGTCAGCGCTTCCTAGTCCTTTCCTGATTGGTGTTGTTTGTCCTGCTCCCCCCTCTCCTCCCTCTTCCCCTGCTCTCGGCTCCCAAACATCGGAGGGTTTCAGAGTTGGGTCAATGATACCTTTGACCCGGAGTCTTGCTCCTTGCTCGTGCTCTAGTTAACCCATTCTACTGATATTGATGTTCGGGTACAGGCAGGTTTGGTGTTGCATGCTAGATATCGGTTGCTGCAGCGCGCAAGGTTGGTTACTTATCCGGATGCCCTGAGGCTGCCCCGCTTGGGTTATAGGGACCCGGACTTTGGGGCATTAGTTGCTTAGACTTGGGTTTCGTCAGCGCTTCCTAGTCCTTTCTTGGTTGGTGTTGTTTGTCGTGCTCCCCCCTCTCCTCCCTCTTCCCCTGCTCTCGGCTCCCAAACATCGGAGGGTTTCAGAGTTGGGGCAGGGTTTCCGGTCGGCCGAGCGGACAGCACGCTGGACTTGTGATCCTGTGGTCCTGGGTTCGATCCCAGGCGCCGGCGAGAAACAATGGGCAAAGTTTCTTTCACCCTATGCCCCTGTTACCTAGCAGTAAAATAGGTACCTGGGTGTTAGTCAGCTGTCACGGGCTGCTTCCTGGGGGTGGAGGCCTGGTCGAGGACCGGGCCGCGGGGACACTAAAGCCCCGAAATCATCTCAAGATAACCTCAAGATATCAAGGTTTAGATGGTAGTGAGAGACTGGCGGCTTCAAGTCGGGCTCACAGCACGATGCGGGAGTTCGCACCGATTTGGCTGGCGCTTCAGAGGGTTCGGGTTGCTCGGGGGTTTAACGATCAGGCACCATTCAGATTGTTCTTCGGTGGTTCATGGCCTAAACCACTGGGGGTTCTCTTTGGGGCTGGTGTCTTCGAGTGACTCGTCTGCTGAATTCTTGGAGTTTGGCTCTGTGTGGTCGTGTGTGGGGAGTGCCTGACGACCTGGCGGACGGCCTGTCTCGGTTCATATCCCTTGTCCACGGAATGGATGGTCAACGTTGACTCCTTCCGTTAGCTCTGCCGGACGTACGAGCTCCCAGAGGTGGCCTTGGCATCAGTGTGGTCTCGGTGTCTCCCGATGTGTGGTGCCTTTCCACGACTGCGGAGCGGTCCGATGGACTTGGTGTAGCAGGGCTGGTCGATGTGGGGTTACCCATACCTCTTTCCCTCGGTCCAGCTGTTGCTTCAGGTTCTGGCTTTGTTGTAGTTTTACCACGGGAGAGTTGTCCTTATGGCCTGTTGGTAGCCGGCCCAGCCTTGGTTTCAGGGGCTGCTTGCTTGGTGCCCAAACCCGGGGCATTTTCTGTGGCTCTGCCTCTTCCAGCAGGTCGGACCTATTCCAGTACATGGCTGGTTCGGTCTACTCCTCCGCTTTTTGCATCTATTTTTTTTTTACGCAGGTTTATCACCTGCGTATGGTGATCAGGTGGCTTCATTGATGGTGTCCCACCTGAGAGCTTCATCTCGGTGACAATTGGAAGTTTCCTGGCGTTCTTTTCACCATTTTCTCTCCCTTTGTAAGTTGTCTTTTATTTCTGATCGGGTTATCTTGTCCTTTCTTGGCTTTTTCAGGATCGTCATTTGATGCCTAATACTGTCACTTCGTATTGTGTGGCGCTTGCGGAGCCACGCTGGCTAGCGCTCGGGGTGGATGTCACGTCCACCTTTATTTCCACCTTTATTTTATTGTTCGGGGTGGATGTCACGTCCACCCCGTCCTGTAAGTTTTCTCATGCTTTGTTTCACCTCTGGCCTGCTCATGCATCGCCTGAGCTGACCTGGTCAATGGACCGGATGCTCTCCTTTCTCTCTTCTCCTTGGTTTATGGTGGCCCCTTCGGTTCAAGATTGTTTTTCCAAGGCTCTTATTCTGTTGGCTGGCCTCTGGGGGTTGGGTTGGTGAGCTTCATGCTCTCCTCTGGCACAGGGGTTTCTTCTCTTATGGTCCTGGTGGTAGGGTTGTTTGGTTGCAGCCAGGAGACGGCCGCTTTCCGGAGGGGTCCTTGAGTGCTTGGTTGGTCAGGCTAGGGGTGCATCGTGTGTTGTCCGGTTGCGGCTCTTCACCGTAACCTGCTCTCCTCAGCTTCTGTAGCTGGGGATGGGCTTTGGGTTGATCCGGTTTCCCTCGTTCCCTGTTCCAGGGATCGGGTCTCCCAGGTTGTCCGCAGGGTTATTAGTCTGAGTTATTAGTCAGGTTCATCCAAGGCATTCGCAGTAAACACTTTCTGGCAGGACTGGTCGAGGTGGGGGGGTTCCTGTACCTTCATCCCCTGATCCAGCTGTTGTTTCGGGTTCTGGCATGGCTTCAGTCCTTTTGGGGAAGAGAGGTTCTCCTGGACCCCAAGGTGGCCGGCCCAGCCTTGGTTTCAGACGCTGCTTGGACGGCGGTGTCTGAACCTGGGAGTTTTTCTGCAACTCTGCCTCTTTCAGCAGGTCGGGCAGCCAGTGAGGTACCTCGCTGGTTTACCTTACTCTTCCACAATTAGCATTTTTTTTTTACACGTGGTGTATCGCCATTTGTATGGTAATCAAGTGGCTTCATTGATGGTGTCCTACCTGTGGTCTTCCTCTCAATGACATTATGAAGTCTCTTTGTGGCCTTTCTACCATTTCCTTTCCCTTTGTAGGATTTTATCTGTTCCAACTCTTTTGTCCTTTCTTTCTTGGCATATTGAGGACTGGCATCTTATGCTGAATACTGTCGCTTCTTATTGTGTGGCGCTAGCGGTGACACTCCAGCTTGCGTTCGGGGTGGATGTCAATTCCATTTCTTTCCGCAAGCTCTCGTGCATTTTTTCACCTCCGGCCTGCTCATGCACCTTCTGAGCCTTCTTGGTCTTTGGACCGGCTGCTCGCCTTTCTCTCTTTTCCTCGGTTTGTCGTGGCCCCCTTTAATCCAGATTTGTTTTCCTCAAGCTTTATTTTTGTTGGCTTTAGCCTCTGAGGGTCGGGTGGGGGAGCCTCATGGTCTTCTCCAGTGCAGGGGTCTCTGCTCTTTTGGTCCTGGGGGTCGTTTTGTTCTGTTGCAGCCTTCTTCTTTTCTGGTGAAGAATGAGATGGCTGGTTTCCGGAGGGGTCCGTGGGTTGTTGATACTTGATTGGTTTGGTCTGGGGTTCATCATGTTTTGTGTCTGGTGGAGGCTTTATTTTGCTACCTGCGTGCTACTGGTTCAGCGACAGTAGACGTGTTCTGGGTAGACCCGGTTTTCCTGGTTCGCTATTCCAAGGCTCATGTCTTTCAAGTTGTCCGCAGGGTTATCAAGTCTAGCCAGCCTGTGGTCTACTCGCATGCCCATGATGTGAGGGCATATGCAGCTCTTGCTGCTATCTTTGGTAGGTCAATATTCGTGCACAGGGCTTTGGAAATCGAACAGGGTCCTGGCCTCCAGATATCTTGTCAACGTCCCGGGCCCTCTGCGGCTTTGTTTTGTGTCCCTGACACCCTTCCTCCCTCTGGTCAGCAGTTTTCATCATTCTCCAAACTGAGGCGGGAGAAGTCGGCTCGCCTGAGCGGGGTCCCCCCCCCTCCCTCCTTTTGGAGGGAGGGGGGGACTGTCAAACTCTACATATAGAGAGCTCATATCGCCATTGCTCTCTTCACCTCTGATGGGGGCCAAGTTCTGGTTCATGGCCCCTGGTAGGCACTCGTACTCCAAGGGCTGATGGCACCAAACTAATATATGGCACATGTCAGTTTAATAACTTCAGGGAGCCTCCGGGGTTAATAGGCTTAATTTGTCAAGTTAGACGAGGATATTTTTGTTGTTACTAGTATTTTCTAAGTGGCATAGCAACTTGTTAGTTAATGGATTTGAAGAGGCAGGGGACATGTCTAATTGGGAAATCCCTGTATGTGTTGTGCCATGGCTAGTAAATTGATAATAAAATGCTTCTTAACACATTTGTTTATACATTTATGCAAGTTATAAATAATTAGAGGTAATTCTGCAAAATTTATTTTGGATAATTTCATTTACTTAAATTTAATCACATGTTTGGCTAGCATGGAGGTAACTGATATCCTAAATTCTGTGTTTGATTTAGCCCTGAGCATTGATGTTTTATAATGTCCTATGGTAGTATTGTATTGACCTAAACTAATTTTTGTTTCAGGGAGCGAAAGTACAAAGTACGAAAAGACACAGGACTGCCAAAAACTCCATTAGAGGTACAGTAGTTGGGTAATAATGCTGTTATCCATTCAGCATGGCAGTGTAGGAGACAAGTGCCATCAACATTGGTATTTAGTCAATTAAATAAGGTGTAATTTAGGCATTGAGGTAATTTTTTGAGTAGTGAATAAAGAACATAAGAATGAATTAGAAAGGCTTATATTGGCACAGTTATATGAGGCAGTTTATATCCATGCAAACTCATTCATATGTCTAATCTACCCTTGGAACAATGCATTGATCCCACGTCTATTATGTTGCCATATTACAAGAAAGTAATATGTATTAATAATATTATTAAATTGTATTTATTGGAGAAACTTTTGGAGATATTAATTTATTGTCTAAATTTAGTGCATCTGGTGCTTAATGCAGGTCACATTGACAATTATTTTTACAGTAAACTATACTCCCCAAACTATATCCTAAAAGGACAACAATGAAGATCATCTTTGTATTTATTATTATTATTTTAAACAAATTTATTGTTTTCCAATTAACTCTTGTATGGTTTATTTCTGTGATCAAGTTCTTAAGGATTATTTCTTTGTTAATTGGGCGAGTTAAATTAGATTGACTTTCGAAGTTGTTAATCACTGGACTGCACCGGGCAAGAAAACTCAGTTGGTGTGAAACTGCGCGAGCCGTGAAAACACCTTTTTAATCTTTCGTATCCATTCAAAATTGGCGCGCAGTAGGTTGTATATGAAATGAACTCTTGGGACCTCCAGTGAGAGGCAGCCATCTTGGAAAAAATTCCCAGAATGCCCTAGGGCTGCTGGCTGGCTTAGTTCCGAGTGAGCAACAAGGGAAGGTGCACATGCCTCTGGCTCCCAAACACCTGTTCGACGCGGTGTTGAAAGATTGCTCTCTGTCGGTGAAATTCAGACCTTATTGTTTGAAGAACATAATATTCCCATGATATTAATGAAGATAGGGACAATAAGGACCTAACACAAGGGTTGGATGCAAGTGATACAGCACCGATGAGGACGATATAGCGAGCATATCCAGTAGTGGCTGAGTGCCACCCATGCTCACCCATGTTATCTCCAATTTTTATGAGCTGGGAGCCGGGAGTGATTCTCCAGTACTCGGGCTGCATGTGTCTAGGGTTTCCTTCCCTAGGTGCATTGTAAGTACTGCCCTTATAGATGATACATTGATGAATTGTTTTCTGGGTTCAGTGATGATGTATTTGAATGTATTTGATAAAAGTTGCGTAGATGAACAGTGTTAGTGGCTTCTATGATGGTGTTTTCCATCGATCTTTTTAAGAATAGTTGAATCTCTTCCAGAATACCTTGAAAAGCGATCTTTTCAAGACTACCTTACACTTCACAAGCTTGGCTACATACTACCTACAGGTACTAAAGCCAAGGGTGTATGCAAGTACGTTACAGTATTTGCAAGCACACAGAACGAAGAAACAGGAAGCGAAAATCTGTTTGTACCTGATGCATCGAGAGCGAAGTTGCACTATGTACCATGGACTGCTGCTTTGCTTATCACTCACTACTGAAGTACTGAGTGTGTAATACAGTGTGTTCCTGTGTAAATAGTGTGAAACTGTACATATTGTAATAAGTGAATTTTGAACAAGTAATATTGCAACAATAAACATTTATTGTGGACACATTACTGATACATGTATCACAGTTCCATGGAACATTATGAATGTGTTCTATTATATAAACATTGTAAAGGACACATATATGCATCGGATATGATACATAAAAAATCATTATAAAGCATTGAAAATACATTGAAATAATATTTGTAAAAATATTTATGGCGACTCGCGAGGCTTGAATGGCCCGTGCGCGACCACATCTGGAAGCCTTACACACGGGTGACCAGCCCGAGATGACGTCATGCACGGCTTTGTCCACGTCCCCACAGCCAAAATAAGTGGAAGTTTATATTTTTTCTGGGGGGGGGGGGGAGCCCCAGCGGCTCCCCGGAACTATACAGGCTGATATGCTAATGTTAGACTTTGGCATCAGTCATGTGTATGGAGTTCTATGGGCCTACCGGGTATCACGAGCCAGAACCTGGCCCCCTCAGAGAGGCAAGGGGAGCAATGGCCTATAGAACCCCCGTGTGATTGGAAGCATTCTATGTCTACCATCAACCGGGTTAGGCACCCAGAAAGGTAAGCGTCCCAAAACAAACCCCTATTCTGGTTAAAATTGCTACCTAATGCCGAACTAGTGGATTGAACTCCTCAAAAAGAAACGCGCAAACTAGCATGACGTCACACGTCACCGTGCCGGTGTCTGCGCAGCTCCCTCCCTCCCCAGGAGGGGGAAGGGGGAGCCCCAGACCCCCCATGCCGGCGATCCACACCCCAGTTCTGAGGCTGGATGTCAACAAAATGCAAAAACCGCCGACCGGAGGAAGGGAGGGAGGGATGCCGGGGAGCCTCCGGGTCACACCCAGAAAATGGCGTTTCATTACATTCAATGCTGGTTTTCTGGGGGGAGCCCCGTGAGCTCCCCGGAGCTAACTACCCACAGAGGAAAGTAGAGGGACTCATCCAGGAGGCGGTCGCTGCTCGCTCCGCAACTCAAAACCGAGACAACTGGCTGCAACCACAGACCCAAGACGACACAGCCCCGATTAGGCCCAGAAATGTGTACAAAGATAATGAGCAGCCAGGACCCCGTTCGACCGCCAAAAAAACCGCGCCCGAATGTAAACTCCTATTCTGGTTAAAATTGCTACCAAAAGCCAAACTTGTGGATAGAACTCCCGAATAGAAAACAAGCAAACTATTGTGACGTCACACGTCGCCGCGCTGCTGTCTGCGCAGCTTCCCCCTCCCCGGGAGGGGGAAGGGGGAGCCCCAGACCCTCCACGCTGGCTACCCACACCTCAGTTCTAGAGGCTGATGCTATAGGCGACAGTTGTGTGCTCTGGCTCCGGTGTCACTACAGCACTGTGCTCTGCATGTGGTGTTTGTTTTTGTGGGTGCGAGAGGCAAAGTTATCTTCAGTACTCGGGCTGCATGCGCCTAGGGCTTCCTTTCCTAGGTGCCCTGTACGTACTGCCCTTGGGGCTTGGGGCCACCTTCCACAGGCTCCTCGGGGTCTCCCTCTGCTGGTCCGTTTTACGTTTTTGGTTTTTCGGCCGCCTGTTGGGCTCTTGGGTGTTCTGTTCTCCCTTGTTACCGGCAGGTAAGAGGCAGTTTGCACTGGTAGGGGCGCAGGGTGCTGCACAACTTGTATTCCCGACATAGAGGTCGGCTCTGTTCCTTGGGGTTCGCTGTCGTCTTGGGGGGTTTTGTTTTTCTTTTTGTTTTTGCCTGGTGGGGGGTTCTGCCCTATTATTCCACTGGTTTTTTCACTTCCTCGGTTCTCCTCGGTGGCACCCCCTGCTAGGTCCCTGTGAGTGTACACGTCCCTGGGGTACAGCTATAGAAGTTTGCTTGGTAGTTTTGGGCGCCGGTTAGTAGCGCCCTGCCTGGGACTACCTGAGCGCGAGTCCTCTTAAAGTAAACGCTCAGGACCCTGGAAATCCCCAAGGGGGCGGGTGGGTCCGATGGATGTGACCCCGGAGTCCCCGCTCGCTGGGTGCGAGTTTGAGGGTTGCTCGGTCCCCTTGTCTCAGGATGACCCTTATTGTTTTTGCCTCTGCCATGCTGCCTGTTGGGTCAGTGATACTTTCGACCCCGAGTCCTGTGAGTGTTGCTGCTTTCTTGTGACTCAATTTACCCAATTCTCTGATTATTCTATCCGGGTACAGGCGGCGCGTGCGTTGCAGTCTAGGTTTCGTCTGTTGCAACGCACTCGGTTGGTTGCGCACCCGGATACCCCGGAGCTGCCCCACTTTGCCTTTCAAGACCCGGACTTGGGGGTGGGGGTCGCTTCGATCCTGGTTCAGTCCGCACCTCCTCGTCCTTCCCCTTCTGTTCGTTCTGGTCCTCCCTTCCCCCCTGCTTCCGGCCCCGAAGCGTCTGAGGGTTTCGGGGTCGGAGCAGGGGTTACTTGATCTTGAGACTCGGGCAGCTTCGGGGGATGCCCCTTCCGGGAGGGCGGCAGAGGCATTCGAGTCTTGTCTCCCGGCCAAAGCTTCTGGGTCTGACCAGTGGGCCCCCCCTTCCTCCAGCTTCTACGGCAGCTCTGTCCTTGTCTTGTGGGGTCGGGGCTTGGGGAGAGGTCTCGGCCCCAGGTCCTATGGTGAAGGACCTCGAGGCTGGGGAGGGGCTGACTTGGGGGCCTTGGGCCCCGCTGGACCCTGCCTGGGTTTTTCTTCCTTCTGAGCGGGGCTTATTGTTACAAGGTGTGGGGTTTTCTTTTCCCCCCTCTGCGTACGAGTTGGATTTGGTGTCGGCCCCTCCCCAGGTTCGGTTCCATGTCTCCCCGGGTACATTGGTTCTGTCTTTCCGGAGGTTTTCGGTTTATCGCATCCAACCTGGTGTGGTGCGGGTGGCCTTTGCAGCTTACCTCCTGCATGACCCGGATTATGCCTCGGAAATGGATCCATCCGAGTTCAGGTTTGGGACTTCGTTCCCTTTCTGGCTCCGTTACGAGGTTCCGGAGTCTTCCTGGCTAGCAGACTGCCCCTTGTTTGTTCTGGATTCCTGGCATTCCTTCTGTCGTTCCCGCACGCTGGAGTGGCGGGAAGCTTCCATGGTGCTTCAGGTTTTCCTGGGGGGCGATCTTGAGTACCTGAATGAGTGCTTGTTTGCCCCTGCCCTTCCCCGCGATGTGGGCATTATTCAGCTCCATGTGCAGGTTCCCACCCTTTCGGCGGCACTCATAGCAGAGGACTTGCATGCCCAGGGCCTTTTGGCTTCGACCTTGCGGTTCTTTTCCCTCCTGGAGCTGTCCTCGGATTGGCTCGTGGAGGATGTGAGGACGCTTGGGTCCGTCCTGGGGTCCGGCGCCTTGTCCTCGGCAGTGCGTTCGTCGGCTGCCTTGTTGAAGCTGTTCACGCCGATTTTGCGGGATGCGATTTCCCTGTTTTATGCTTCCCGTCTCGCGTGTCGGCAGATGGTGCTGGTAATTCCTCTGTGGAATCTGCTTGGGCTCTGGCTCTTAGGCGTTCTTTGCCTTTTTGTCCTCTTTTGTTTGAGGAGTCGGCCATGGCGCAGTTTATGCAGGCTGCGTTGTCGGCTTGTCGTCCGATGTCGGACTTGTTGGTTTTCCGGGGGTCCCGGGGTGGGTCTTCCCGGAAGGGTCGTGCCAGGGCTCGTGGTTCCTCTCGTCGTGGTAGGCCACTGGTGTCAGGTTCGGGTTCGGCTCCTACTTCGGACCCTCCCTCGTCTGGTCGGCTCCTACTTCGGACCCTCCCTCGTCTGGTCGGCGCGGGGTTCTGGGTTTCGTAAGGGTCGCTGGCCATTTCGCAGTTTGCCCCATTGATGGGGCGATGGGGGCGGCGGCTTGCACTGTTCGCCCACGCCTGGTCCCACGATTCGTGGGCCTTTCGGGTCATGTCTGTCGGCCTGCGGTGGCGTTGGGTGGCCCCCCTCCCCCCTTGGGGGGGGTCGGGGCTGGCAGGGCAGGTTTCTTCCCCAGGGCTCTGTCGGGTCGTTTTGGAGTGGGATCGCTTGGGCGTCGTCGAAACGTCGTCGTCCCTCAGATGGGTTTCCCGTCTGTTTCAGGTTCCAAAACAGGACTGCACGGACCTGCGGTTCATTCTGGACTAGTCCCGTCTGAACCCCTGGGTTCATTGCCCCTCCTTTCGGATGACTACGCTGTCTCAGGTTCGGCTCCTCTTGGAGCCGGGTGCTTGGATGGTGTCCCTGGACCTCCGGGACGCTTATTGGCATGTCCCGATTCATCTGGGGTTCAGGGACTGGCTCGGTTTTGTTGTGGAGCGTCTGAGTTACAGCTTTCGTTGTCTCCCGTTCGGGTTGATCCTGGCACCTCGCGTGTTCACGTGCCTTACACGGGTTGTGGTGGCTCGTTTGCGTCTCCTAGGTGTTCGGGTGTTGGCCTACCTCGACGACTGGCTGGTTTGGGCTCCCAGCCGGTCAGCTTGCTTGCTAGCCAGGGATTTGATTCTTTCCCAGCTCGTCGGGTTCGGGTTCTTGGTGAACTGGAGGAAGTCCCGTCTGGTCCCCTCTTAGGTTCGAACTTGGCTGGGTCTCGTTTGGGACTCTCGGACCGCCTCCTTGTCTCTCCCTCCGGAGTCTCTCCTGCGGCTGCGGTCCCGCCTTTGTCTGTTTCTGGTGGGCCCTCTGGTCACCCGGCGGTTGCTCGAGGGGCTGTGCGGAAGCTTGAACTTCGCGATGGTGGTCTACCCGCCGGGTCGGGTTTGGCTTCGTCGGCAGTTTTGGTTCCTTCGGGGTCACCCCTTCCGTCTCTCTCACGATTGCAGGGGTTTGACCCCGGGGGCCTTGTGTCAGTTGCTGTGTCACCGACTTCTTCTTCGGGTTTTTCGGGGTTCAGTGCCTTGGCGCCTCCCCGAGCCCTCGCTCGAAGTGTACACGGATGTGTCGTCTCTCGGCTGGGGCTTTGTGATCAGTGCTCACCAGGCCCACCAGGCCCACCAGGGGCGTTGGGATCCGTCCTTCCGTTGAGCTCACAGCACGGTGCGGGAGTTCGCGGGGGTTCGATGTGGTCCTTGTCTCTTTGGGGTTGGTCGCTTCGGGTGACTCGTCTGCTGAGTTCTCGGGGTTTGGCTCTCCTGGCGGTTCACATCCAGGGAGTGTCCAACGTCTTGGCCGACGCTCTGTCTTGCTTCGTTCCCCTCTCCACAGAGTGAACGGTCAACTTCAATTGACTTTGCCAGACGTTCGGGCGCCCCGAGGTGGACCTCTTCGCGTCTGCATGGTTGCGGTGTCTTCCCGTGTATGCGGCGCCCTTCCCTGATCGCGAGGCCGTCGATGCCTTCCGGCTAGACTGGTCGAGGTGGGGGTTCCTGTACCTCTTTCCCCCAGTTCGACTGTTGCTCCAGGTCCTGACTCGCCTGGAGACTTACCAGGGGAGAGTTGTCCTTCTGGCTCCTTGGTGGCCGGCCCAGCCTTGGTTTCAGGTGCTGCTTGCTCGGTGTCCGAACCCGAGGGTTTTCCCGCGGCTCCGCCTCTTTCAGCAGATCGGGCCGGTATGTCACGTGGCTGGTTCGATCTTCTCCTCGAGACTTTGTGTATGGGTTTTTGATTCGAGTTTATCATCATCTCTATGGTGATCACGTGGCCTCCTTGTTGGTGTCCCACCTGAGGGCTTCTTCTCGGCGGCAGTATGAAGTTTCCTGGCGGTCCTTCCGTTTCTTTTTGCGTCTTCGTCGTGTTAGTTCCTTATCTGTTAGGGTGGTCCTGTCCTTTCTCTCTTGGTTGTTTCAGGACCGTCATCATATGCCTAACACTGTCGCCTCATAGCGTGCGGCGCTGGCGGAGCCACTTCAGCTTGCCTTCAGTATCGATGTTACGTCTGCGCCATTTCGCAAGCTGTCTTGTGCCTTGTTTCACCTCCGGCGTGCTCATGCGCCGCCTGAGCCATCCTGGTCTTTGGACGGCGTGCTCGCTTACCTTTCGTCTCCTCGTTTCGTTGTGGCCCCTTCGGTCCGGGATTGTTTCTCCAAGGCTCTTTTCTCGTTGGCATTGGCCTCTGGGGGTCGGGTAGGGGAGCTTCATGCTCTCCTCCGGCGCAGGGGTTTCTGCTCTTTTGGTCGTGGTGATTGTTTTGTTCGCTTGCAGCCGTCTCCTTCTTTTCTGGCGAAGAATGAGACTGCTGTGTTCCGGAGGGGTCCATGGGGGGTTGATGCTTGGTTGGTCAGGCCGGGGGTGCATCATGTTTTGTGTCCGGTTGCGGCGCTTCGCCGTTATTTGCGCGCCACGGCTTCTGTGTCCGAGGACGCGCTTTGGGTTAATCCGGTTTCCCTTCTTCCCTGTTCGCGGGTTCGGATCTCCCAGGTCGTCCGCAGGGTTATTAAGTCCAGCCAGCCACGGTCTATCCCCGTGCCCATGACGTCCATAAGTTCGCGGCTCTTGCTGCCGTCTTTGGGTATATGTCTTGGTCTCATATTTGGGCGCGGGGATTTTGGCGGTCGAACAGGATCCTGGCTGCTCGTCACCCTCCGGTCGGTGTTTTTTTCGCGTTTTTGAGATCCAGCCTCAAGAACCGAGGTGTGGGTAGCCGGCGTGGAGGGTCTGGGGCTCCCCCTTCCCCCTCCCAGGGAGGGGGAAGCTGCGCAGACAGCGGCGCGGCGACGTGTGATGTCACACTAGTTTGCTTGTTTTCTGTTGGGGAGTTCTATCCACTAGTTCGGCTTTTGGTAGCAATTTTAACTAGAATAGGGGTTTGTTTTGAGGCGCTTACCTTTCTGGGTGCCTGTTCCGGTCGATGACAGACATAGAATGCTTCCAACCACACGGGGGCTTCTATAGGCCATTGCTCCCCTTGCCTTGAGGGGGCCCGGTTCTGGCCGTGGTCCCCGGTAGGCCTAAGAACTCCATACACATGACTGATGCCAAAGTCTGACATTAGCATATCAGCCTGGGAAAAGCTCCGGGGAGCCTCCGGGATTCACCCAGAAAATAGCGTTTCATTACATTCAACGCTGGTTTTTTTAGAGGTGGGGGGATTTTTTCTTGACTTCATTTCAACACATATTGACCTACAACTATCACATTGTACAATACGACTGCCAACCAATATGTATTAAAGCATTCAAGGAAATACATGAAGTAGAAAGATCATATTCATTGGCGAGAAATTGCAATTAATTTTTCTCGTGAACTAGATTTTCAGTTTTGAGACAGCTTTAAAAAGCCAATTTCTGATCGATTCTCAACATTTTCACATATGTCCAAAATTCTTTGTTCTACAATATCCTCCTCTTGTCTTTTCATAAATGAAAAACTTTTGGAGATATTAATTTTTTCATCTAAATTTGGCACATATTGACAATTATTTTTACGGTAAACTATACTGTACTCTCAAACTTTATTCTAATAGGATAACAATGAAGATCATAAGAAATTCTGCAACCATAATGAAAGAAAAGGATACATTGGGGTCATTATATATTTTTGAAGCTCATTTAAAAATGTGAAATGGAAACTTTTTAAAATTAATTATTTAGATACAGTATATATATTTTTGTGTGTGTTCATGTTTGGCTGTTGATCCCTTAGGAAAAGTTGAAGCATTAACCATGTAGATTAGGCAAAAAAAAAAAAAAAAAAAAAGTTTGAGAACGTTTCAAAACACCATTTTGTGACCCTTTAAAGCTTACCTACACTGAACTCTTCAGTGTCTTGCAAGCATTTGTTTGAGCATTTCCTTTTTATCTGAGGAGATGGTTTAGACCAGTTGTTCTTAACTGGTGGGTTGTGATCCCCTTGGAGGGTTGGTCAAGTATTTGAAATAGACTTAATGTGTTCTCAAAAAGTTGGGGAAACTTCCAATTTAGACTATTGATTCCCAGTGTTTTGGAGAATGGCCTTATTTTCTGATTTTGAAAAGACCCCCAAGTGGGTCGCAACCCACCAGTTGGGATACCACTTATTTAGACAGTGTACAGGTTGATTCTATTTTAATTTTGCAATTAATATTTTTATTCTCTTGATAGATATGGTGTTCAGAACAGAAGAATGAGATTAAAGGCAACCCATCCGAATCTAATTATCCTAAGGTTGTTTATGCTGGTCTTGAGGATGATGTGAAATTGAAATACATTACTTCATCACTGAGAGAAATGCACGATTTTGAGGTGAGTTAAATAGCTTGGATAGTCACTAGTATCAGAAAGAGCATTATTTATTCTTACCATAATGGTCCACCTCCTACCTTTTAGTACATTATTCATTTGTAATTCTCTTGATCATGTTCTGTGATGTATTTATTTTGCACGTTGTGGATTGAGATGGCATCATTTCATAACTTGAGAATTAAATGTGACAAAACCATAACCCTCAAGAGAGTTATGAAAGTACGAAGTACCTAAAGCTAGGCAGTGGGACGTGAAGAGCTAGATTTCCTGAAGTCACTGATACGTAAGCATGTAGAAGAACTATGAAAATTTAGGTAATTATTAGATTCAGCAAAAGGCATTTGACAAAGTTTATTGGGAAGATGTGAAGTAGCTCTTATTCTGTTACTACACTTGGGTAATTGCAGGAGATCTGGGCTTTGAGGACAGGCCTCGAGTTGAACCTGTATACACTGCCGGAGGAAGATCAGAGAAGACTAGATGTGAGAAAAGTAGACAAAATGAGTGGGAAGAAACTTCCCAATGAGGAGACATAAGAATAAGGAATAACAGACACAGGTGTAAGGAAGTGCCCATGTGCAAACAGTACACATGTGGATTGAAGTCAAGGAATAAGTGGCCGAAGCCAATTCAGTCGAAAACATTAAATGTAGATAAGAGTTGTATTAAATGGCAAGTAATATGGCAATGGAAGAATGTAAGAATATACCTCTCTCATCTCCTCTCCAGAGAGTACATGTATCAAATAATATATACATTGAAGATACTGGAAGGCCAGGTCACAAATTTGTACAGTAAAATAACAATATACTGATTTGAGGAAGATTTGAACCCACTCACCTGGTACTCCCAAGCTAGCACCCTAGACCACTACACCACAACATGGAAAAGCAATGTAACCCGGGAATCCATTGAACCTTCTATGATTCCTGAGGCTTGCAACTGAAGCCCAATGAGGGTTTTAAGTATTAGCATTTTAAGCATTCCCATTGACAATCACGATCATTCTGATCTGACACGTCTTGAATTGCACGTAGATATTCACGTCTTGGTGTTGTCTCAGAACCTTCAAATTCTGTTGCATTTACACATTTTGATTGCACTGTGATATAAAGTGCCATTTGAGTAACAAAAGTGTTGGTGTATTTTGAAGGTTAAGAGTCGGTTCATTCCATACGACAACCTCTGAAGTGGATGAGTAGTTTATACTATTTTTTGTTATTTATATGAAGTTATTGAAAAATATGTATATTACAGGGAAATGTCAAAACAAATCTAGTTGGGGAGGTTGGGAGCATAAGTCATAAAATGTTTATATTGTCTACTATTTCTACAAGTTCATTCATGGAGATCCTAGTGTGATCTTAAATAATTAAAAAATCACTATCATTGAATATTTCATGAATATCTCATCTGAGGAGATGCTGGGGCTCGGGGTGGGGGGGGGGGTAATGGTGGAGAAGTGACACAGCAACAGGGGACATATTCACTCCTCAGAAGTTCTGTGGGCACTGAAGGCTTAAATATTAATTCTTAACATGGCCACTCCTAGCACCGAGATACCTGGTGATCAGTTGCACAACTTAACATCATCCCAATTGTTCTCCAGTTACCCCACATGATAAAGCAGTCAGTGATGTCGGTACACACAGCCAGGAATATATAAAACATCTAGGGATTGTATTCATAGCATAAAAGCTATTGTAATGTTTAATTTAATCCTATAAATGCAGTATACAGATAGCTATTAAATAATTTTGCTTCAGCTTAAGTGTTAATGATGGAGTGTATCATATCTCACTATACGGTAGTAAATGCCTCGTATAAGAATTTGTCCTTTGTTCTTATGTGTCAATGTTTAATTTACAGAAGAAGATTGAGGCACAAAAAGAAAGCAATCCAGAAGATAATGTTCCCCAAATTCGTGGCCCAACCAAAGTTGATTTAAAGATATATCTAAAGTGAGTAATATTGATCCATTTTGTTTACACATTCTGATTACTGTATATTGTACAGCAAGCATGATGACTTCCATATAATATAGACCTATTAATGCAATATCATTGAGGCTTTGAGGAAATAGATATATCTGGAATGAGTTTTGAGAGTTTTACTCTTGAAGCTTGACTAGGGGCCAGGCCTGACTTGTGATAACTTGGGCCAACAGGCTGTTGCTTGGGGCAGCCCGCAGCACAACCCATTCAACACTGCTCTGCTATTCCAGCACGTCCTGCCAGAACTTGTCTAATATTTTTTTTAACACATCCGAAGGTAAATTAATCTCTTAGATGGTACCATGGTGCACAGGCTGAGGAGAACCAGCAAGGGGTTCAAACCTAGAAACAAAGCATTAAGTATAGTGAAATGCCCTTTTCTGGGTTACACGTTAGTAGCTTCTTGTTCTTGCCCAAGTGTGTGGAGGTGGACTTCTGTACACGATCCTCGGCTAGCTTGGACACCCTCCTGGTGGTGGTTGTCAGATTAGTGCAGATTAGTTTGTGCTTTGAGTTTGGTAATTAGCAGGTTCCATACTATTTTCTGTAGGAGGTTTTGAGATTATCCATTAATTGGACAGTTCTCATGGGTAACAGTTTGATGTTCACAAGTTTTCCCCTCCATAAACAGAGAGCAAGCAGAGATGTGCATATTCCTGCCTTTCCACGATTGTGCATGTGTGACATGCCAAGATTGTTACCAGAAGCTTGGCATAGTTATGGTGTAATATGACCATGCCAAGAAAATAAAAGAAAGAATGTAGAAAATAAAAAAGAATGTAATAAATAGCCAAAAAGGTCAAATGTGGTGGGGTCAGTGCTTGCCTACCTGAGGGATTGCTGGGACTCCCAAAACATGTGCTTATCAGTTTGTGTAATTACCTCAGTGTAATTACCTAAGTATAGTTACAGGATGAGAGCTATGCTGGCGGTGTCCCATCTACCCAGCACCCTTTGTCATATAACGCTTTGAAACTACTGACGGTTTTGGCCTCCACCACCTTCTCACCTAACTTGTTCCAAACATCTGCCACTCTGTGAAGGTGAATTTTCTTATATTTCTTCAGCATCTTTGTTTAATTAGTTTAAATCTATGACCTCTTGTTCTTGAAGTTCCAGGTTTCAGGAAATCTTCCCTATCAATTTTATCAATTCCTGTTACTATTTTGTATGTAGTGATCATATCACCTCTTTTTCTTCTGTCTTCTAATTTTGGCATATTTAATGCCTCTAACCTCTCCTCGTAGTTCTTGCCCTTTAGTTCTGGGAGCCACTTAGCATGTCTTTGCACCTTTTCCAGTTTGTTGGTGTGCTTCTTAACACTATCACGCTCCCAGCAGAAGGCTCTTTGACTTTCCCCCTGTGGGATGAGCATTTCGGGCGAACACGCGGCGACACTGAAATGTTTATACTCTTTTCGGTCTGCTGACCTTAATTTTTTATGTATGTATTTAAATTTGGTATCAATTTGTTCGCAAGTGAATGCTCTAGAGGAATATATATATAAAATTTCGCCAAAGCCAATGTGGGACCCGCACCAAATAAACTACGGCGATTGTTAGCCGTGAGCGCCGAACAGCGATGAAATGTTTATGCTCTTTTCAGGTTTGTCAACCCCAGAATTGTTCTACGTCGTTAATTTTGGTATCACTATGATCACAATAAAATTCCCTGCACAGACATATGAATATAAAGTACAAAACATGGGTGTGCCCCACCCACAAGAGCATGGGAAGTTGCCCAAGTGTTACCCGCTACCGCACGCCCAACTCCACATTGGCTACACCCTTACTGAAAAGTTTATACTCTCTTCATGTTTTTGACCGTAATTTTTGATGTACGTGTTTCATTTTGGTATCAATGTGTTCCCAATGAAATGTTCTAGAGGAACATACATACAGTATAACATGTCACCAAAGCTAACATGATGCCGGCACCAAATAAAAAATTAAGTCGTATGTTAGCCGTGCACCAAAGTATAAAGACTAAAGTCGGCAAAGTTACCAGCGAGCGCACAAAATCAGTAAAATTTATATACTCGTTTCAGTTTTCTCCCCTTATTTCTCGTGCTACATCGTTAATTTTGCTATCATTGTGTTCGCAATAGAATTCTCTATAGGGGTATATGCATACAAGGTCTAAGAGCCCGGAGTGACTCCCCACAGCAAAGCCTAAAGTCGTCCAAGTTACCCATGAACAAGCACCTGCAGACTAATATATATACTCGTTCAGTTTGATAACATAAATTTTCGTGCCATGTCCTTCATTTTGGTATCAAATTGTTTGCAATGAAAAGGCGCGTATTTTAAAACTAGTCCCATAATAGTAGAACAATAAAAAGAATTTTAACAAATATTTTAACTTTTGGACGGTTTTTTGACGCTCATCCCACAACAAAATTATTTATATCTTTCCAGTGTTCTGACATTAATTTTCATGTTATGTCTTTCATTGTATCAAATTCTGAGCAATCTAAAGGCGCTCATTTTGAAACCACTCCCAGATTGGTCAGTTAAAATTAACATTTTTAACAAATATTTTAATGGATGACGCAACAATTGTCATCCATTCACAATACGGAGAAAAGCGGATGACTATGCTCGTGACATCGGTGTGCGAAAGTGTTAATGGTGCAAGAACTGAACCCTGTGGTACTCCACTTGTGACATTTCTCCAGTCTGATACATTGCCTCTGATTGCTGCCCTCATTTTTTTTTTTCAGTCAGAAAATTTTTCATCCATGTTAGAAGCTTACCTGTCACTCCACCAATATTTTCCAGTTTTCAGAACAACCTCGTATGTGGAACTCTGTTGAAAGCCTTTTTTAGGTCCAGATAAATGCAGTCAACCCAACCATCTCTTTCCTGTAATATCTCTGTGGCTCGATCATAGTAACTGAGTAAATTGTGCGTGTGTGTGTGTGTAATTACCTAAGTGTAATTACAGGATGAGAGCTATGCTCGTGGTGTCCCGTCTACCCAACACTCTTTTGTCATGTAACGCTTTGAAGCTACTGACGGTTTTGGCCTCCACCACCTTTCTCACTTAACTTGTTCCAACCGTCTACCACTCTGTTTGCAAAAGGTAATTTTCTCATATTTCTTCGGCATCTTTGTTTAGTTAGTTTAAATCTATGACTCTTGTTTTTGAGGTTCCAGGTCTCAGAAAATCTTCCCTTCGATTTTATCAATTCCTGTTACTATTTTGTACGTAGTGATCATATCACCTCTTTTTTTCTTTTCTTCTGTTTTGGCATATTTAATGGCTCTAACCTCTCCTCGTAGCTCTAGCCCTTCAGTTCTGGGAGCCACTTAGTAGCATGTCTTTGCACCTTTTCCAGTTGATGTGCTTCTTAAGATATGGGCACCACACAACTGCTGCATATTCTAGCTTTGGCCTAACAAAAGTCGTGAACAATTTCTTTAATATTTCACCATCCATGTATTTAAAAGCAATTCTGAAGTTAGAAAGTGTGGCATAGGCTCCTTGCACAACGCTCTTTATATGGTTCTCAGGTGATAGTTTTCTATCTAGAAAACAAATGTATGTGTGTGTATGTGCTCACCTGATTGTGCTTACACAATTAGGTGAGTACACACACACACACACACACATTTATAAATAACATTTATATTTATTATTTATATTTAAATAATTAAATGTGTGTGTGTGTGTGTGTGTGTGTGTGTGTGTGTGTGTGTAATTACCTAAGTGTAATTACCTAAGTGTAGTTACAGGATGAGAGCTACGCTCGTGGTGTCCCGTCTTCCCAGCACTCTTTGTCATATAACGCTTTGAAACTACTGACGGTCTTGGCCTCCACCACCTTCTCACTTAACTTGTTCCAACCGTCTACCACTCTATTTGCGAAGGCGAATTTTCTTATATTTCTTCGGCATCTGTGTTTAGCTAGTTTAAATCTATGACCTCTTGTTCTTGAAGTTCCAGGTCTCAGGAAGTCTTCCCTGTCGATTTTATCAATTCCTGTTACTATTTTGTATGTAGTGATCATATCACCTCTTTTTCTTCTGTCTTCTAGTTTTGGCATATTTAATGCTTCCAACCTCTCCTCGTAGCTCTTGCCCTTCAGTTCTGGGAGCCACTTAGTAGCATGTCTTTGCACCTTTTCCAGTTTGTTGATGTGCTTCTTAAGATATGGGCACCACACAACAGCTGCATATTCTAGCTTTGGCCTAACAAAAGTCATGAACAATTTCTTTAGTATATCGCCATCCATGTATTAAATGCATCCATGCATCCATGTATTTATGTGAGTGTGTGTGTGTGTGTGCGCGCGTGCGTGCATTGCATGTCAGATTAGTTTCTGCTGACAGGCAATGTGAACATAGCCACAGGGCTGTGCTTTTTTTCCTTCTAAAGGAATGCTTGGGCACATAGCACAACTGCTGTCATGGTCCCTAAATAAAATGACAAAGGGGGCCAATTATTTGAATATCTGGATTATTCATGACTGGATAGTCCAGAAGATTATAATCTAGGGGTTGGAGGTAATATTGTATTAGCATTGTTCTGTCCCTTGCAGGTAATAATTGCCATTGTGTAATCAAACCTGTCATTAAAGATACATTAATATTAAAAAAAAATTTGTTCTTTTCACAGGGCTAAGGGTCTTCCAGAGGATCAATTTACCAGACCTTTTACTGTGTTTTATCAAGAGCTGCTGGAGGCTGGAGAGTTGGACAACATTCAAGGGAAAGTTAAGCTCATGTCCGTTATGGAGAAGTTCAAGCATCTACCTAAAGATAGACAAACACAATATAAAATTCAGGCTCTGAAGGTAAATAAATAAATATATATATTGATCTTCCAATCAATTGATGTGTATATCAGTTTGATCTTTCAATCAATTGATGTGTATATCAGTTTGATCTTTCAATGAATTGATGTGTATATCAGTTTGATCTTTCAATCAATTGATGTGTATATCAGTTTGATCTTTCAATCAATTGATGTGTATATCAGTTTGATCTTTCAATGAATTGATGTGTATATCAGTTTGATCTTTCAATGAATTGATGTGTATATCAGTTTGATCTTTCAATCAATTGATGTGTATATCAGTTTGATCTTTCAATGAATTGATGTGTATATCAGTTTGATCTTTCAATCAATTGATGTGTATATCAGTTTGATCTTTCAATCAATTGATGTGTATATCAGTTTGATCTTTCAATCAATTGATGTGTATATCAGTTTGATCTTACAATCAATTGATGTGTATATCAGTTTGATCTTTCAATCAATTGATGTGTATATCAGTTTGATCTTTCAATCAATTGATGTGTATATCAGTTTGATCTTTCAATCAATTGATGTGTATATCAGTTTGATCTTACAATCAATTGATGTGTATATCAGTTTGATCTTTCAATTAATTGATGTGTATATCAGTTTGATCTTTCAATTAATTGATGTGTAGTGTATATCAGTTAGACCTAATAAACACTCCAGGAAGGGGGGGGGGGTGCTTTCAGGAGCTTAGTTCCTTAGGGTATTCCAGTGTTGCTTTTTACTTGTTTAACTCCATTAGTCAAATGTAGTGATGCAATATTTGCCAGCTTAAAAGTTACTCACATTTTATCTTGTGTATTTGCTTTGCTCTGGGTGAATAGTGGCTCTAGCAATCAAGATGACCATTATTTCTCTTGTAATACGAGGGGGGGGCTCTTGAACTCTATTCCGTCCTTTACCTCTTACCTCTACCCATATTCTGAATTATTTCTCTTCAATCCAAGGGACCCCAGAGCTACTCTAAGACGAATCCCACGCCACGTGGTCTTAAGCCATTTGACCGGCTAAGATTCTACAGCCTCACAATGTGGTACTAGACTATTAGCAAAACTCAGGGATCTCTTTTACGCCGCCACCACCAGACCATTAACACGGGGAGCAATAACCGGGGTCTGGACCGATTATGCTCTCAATAAACCTTGGGGCTTGATCCCCAGTTATTTGGACGAGGAGGGAAGAATCTACGTTAAGTGTGGAGAATTATAGCAAACGGGGATAGCTGAACTCTTACGCTTTATTAGGCTTTGTGGCCCAACTAAAACTCAGCCTTGTGTAGATTACATGACAAGGACATGAGACAATGGAAATAATAAAATGCAAATTACAAACTAGATATTTATTTTAACAAAATCTAAATAAAAGCACTCCCTATAGTGAACACTTCCTAGAGGCATGAAATGAACTGATTCCCTATACAAAACTACAGCAGACTCTACCTTTGACTGCAACCAGCTAGATGTAATGCTGATCTATTTAGGGAGAGGGTGAGAGTGGATGACTTCCCTCAGTTGATGACCAGTCCACACTGACCTCCCTCACTCTGCTTGCCTCACAGCTGGTCAGAGCTAGGGGGTATTCCTACGCCTGGCTTACTAAGTTTACTAGCAGGGTTTAAAGTTGAACAACTAATCTCTGTTGCACTGGACGACCCAGATGGTTGAAGTCTTTTAAACTGAAGGTAATTGCACAGGCATCTTAGGGAAGAGCTATTTCCAATTACAAAATGGCTATTTTACCTTTGAGAATTACTAAATGTGGAAGCTTCGGTGACCTGTGACCCTTGGGTCGCACAAATCGCTCCGCGACCGAGGCTAGTTCCGGCTAGTGACTTCACTGATGGTGACTTACTAAAGTATTCTGACAATTTGAGGATACTCTTGATACTTTAAACAGAATACTACTGAATACAATTTGATTGGAGACTTAAATCTCTCTAAATTACTGAATTCTGTCAAATAATTCATTATTCGTTGCTCAAGACAAAGACGCTGGCCATTTTGTGACGTAAACCGCCAGTCCCAGGGGGGGATGCCTCGTGCTTTGGGTCAGGTCAACTACAACTTGACTCTAACTTTTGTACAAAAGTGTATCCCACT